CTGTACACACAGAGCCTAGCAGAGCACCTGGCATAAGGAAGATACCCAGTAGTTATTTGTTGAATGAATGAATAAGTTTCAATGCATGCTTGTATGTCAGGAACCAGATTCAGATAGAGTCCCAGTGTGTAAAATCCCAGATTCTGAGCATATCTGCTAGACCCCTTTCTACCATGGATGATCCTATAGCTATTGTCATCAGATCCATTAGAGTAGTGTTAGCTTTGTCCCTTGCTGCCTGGAACCAAAGCTCCCCAAGACATTTCTACCTAACAATCACTCAAGTCCTGGGGTGATCATATTCTCACCAATTTTTTTAAGGAAAAAGAAATTGTCATTATTGATAAAGAAGTCTTGAAGTTTTCACCAGAGATAAGACGCATTTTCCCACTATTTAGCATAGATTCCAGAAAGTTGATCTTAGAGAAAACAAGAACGAGATGACACAGCAAACATGACGCTCAAGAAAGGAAACAAAGCTACCATAACACATTAAGAAAATGAAGTTAAAATTTATCAATCAAAATCAATGTAGCACCACATTGAAGAATAAAGAAACTGAGCTGTATTTTTAAGGAACATGTTGCAAAATTCCTGGTACCTTTGTGTAGTAAATAAAAATAAGGGAAGGGACAGATTTTAGGGGAAATCTCTCTTAAAGCACATTGCAAAAGAAAATGCTTTACACATGGAAAAGGTAATCTTTTTATGTAACAGCAGTAATTCAGACTCACGGCATCAGTTGGCTTAGCTAGAAAGTGTACTGTACTGTCAACGTTGTAATGACACCATTACTATCAGTTAATTCCATCGTCTTTGCCAGGTGACACAGCGTAAGACACGGTGCAATTATGTAGTTCGGCAAAATGTGCACATTTCACTCTACCGTGATTTTAACATCCCAGATGTCATGGATAGTTTAAGAATATTCACAAATAAATTAGTTAACCTTGAATCTCTAGGTATCATTTAAGCATTGTTGTTTTAGGAAGAGAGATTGTCACAAACAATATATTCCCCCTAAACATCTAGAAAAGACTCATTTATTTTTTTCTTTCTGCCTACACAGAGTAGAAGCCAATATGCTCTAGTTTTTATCTTCTTGGCTACAAAGTACTCCCTCTGTCAGTTTCATTCCCATGAATTTCTGAGTTTTTACATTATACCTATGCCACACACTGATGAAGGAATTCCTGCCCTATCGGGATTCTGCGTGTGGCTGAGGAAAGAATAAACATGAGGAAGCATCAAGCCTGAGGTGCAACAGAACTATGACTGGTACACTGGGATATATTTTGACGCTGACTAGCTTGATGTTTTCCAATATCCACTTACTTCTCTGGGCCACAACTGCTTCTTTGGTGGAAGGAGACTGCACTTGGCACTCTGAAAGGTCCTGCCAGCATAGCTGATGATTGTGACACTCTGAGGTTCAAAGCAAGTAGAAGAGAGTGTCTTTCAGAAAATGTCTAAAGAAATTTGCAGTACAATGATCATTCTAAGGTGGGAGTAGTCAGAGGAGGTTTTGTCGACGTGCACATTTTAAAGATGGGCTAGAAGCACAATGTAAAATGGTATGCCAAGCATTATTTTTTTCTGACATTTCTTGTCTTGAAGTTTGTATTAAGTATCACTGGGTTTGGGGAAAGGATATTCTGTGCTCTTTCCTCAGCCATTCTGGATGGCATGATTTAGCATTATAAGCATAGTGCTGTGTGACTGAGTAGAAACCATGGTGTTTTAAGTCCCACTCTTTTCCTACCCATTCTTTCTGCCTTCATGACTAAATTTGGCAGTCTCTATTCATTTTTAATCTATCTACCTCAGTAGGGAGTTAAAAGGGTGACATGATTAAAATGGGGAGATGAAGAACAGTCTTAATTCATTTCACAGAATAATTATGTCTACAAGAGCATTTGTCCAGCCAAATTCACCCACTTCCCTGCTAATTCTCTCATCCATATTGGTGAACTAAACTCTAGATTTAATCTAAAACATATCATATCACACACACACAATATGTTCTCCGTGGCCCAAAGTGTAACAGGAATCGAACAATTATCCAGTGATTGGATTGGTGACAAACACAGAGTCCTAAAATTTAGATTGAGATTAAGTTATTTGGGTTGGTACCTTCAGCAATCAAATCAGCTAAATGATGTCTCGTCCCCTCTCTTGACACTTGCTAGAAGACTTAGACAGTAAATTATCTAACTTAGGACAAAGTTGCATGGTTTACTGAAGTTAAAAAATTAAAGCACCTGTTTGACTTTGTACACAGAAAACATTATAGATTCAAAAGTTTCTTAAATGTTTACAAATACTGCTAAGAGCATAGAACAAACTCCAGGAATAGTTCCACCAGGTGCAGGACTGTGAAGTCACTTGTCCCCTTGTCCTTCCATTCTCCTGACTGTAGAGCTCCAGCTCTGAGAGCCCAGCCCAGATCAGATCTAACTTCCCTCACTCCATCATCGCTCTACATTCCCTTTGAGGTCCATGGTCTCCAAATCCTTAAGATATAAAATGATATTTATTGTTTTGCTACTGTCTTTTGGCATTTTTTTTTCATCTGAAGAAAGGAATTACACAATATTTAAGGAAATGTCTCAATTTCCAGTGGTCCTTTGTGCATGGTTTTTATTTCCTGCCATTACAGAGAATGTGGGGTCACAAGGAAATAACTTGGTTCAGTTTATTTCTGAAAACCACCTTAACAATATGGGACAAAGCAGACAGGAGCAGCTCAGATCACATCCAGGGACTACAGCTCAGCCAACACCAACCACAACACAACACAACCATGAGAAGAAATGTCTCTGAACTCATCACCGGATAATGTGTTAATATGTTTTTCAATTTCTTTTCACTCACCATTATCAATACAATCAAACATTTTTTTTTCATTTTTCTTTTATTATTCATATGTGCATACAAGGCTTGGGTCATTTCTCCCCCCTGCCCCCACCTCCTCCCTTACCACCCACTCCGCCCCCTCCCTCTCCCCACCCTCAATACCCAGCAGAAACTATTTTGCTCTTATTTCTAATTTTGTTGTAGAGAGAGTATAAATCATAATAGGAAGGAACAAGGGTTTTTGCTGGTTGAGATAAGGATAGCTATACAGGGCATTGACTTACATTGATTTCCTGTGCGTGGGTGTTACCTTCTAGGTTAATTCTTTTTGATCTCACCTTTTCTCTAGTACCTGTTCCCCTTTTCCTATTGGCCTCAGTTGCTTTAAGGTATCTGCTTTAGTTTCTCTGCGTTAAGGGCAACAAATGCTAGCTAGTTTTTTAGGTGTCTTACCTATCCTCACCCCTCCCTTGTGTGCTCTCGCTTTTATCACATGCTCAAAGTCCACTCCCATTGTTGTGTTTGCCCTTGATCTAATGTCCACATATGAGGGAGAACATACGATTTTTGGTCTTTTGGGCCAGGCTAACCTCACTCAGAATGATGTTCTCCAATTCCATCCATTTACCAGCGAATGATAACATTTCGTTCTTCTTCATGGCTGCATAAAATTCATTGTGTATAGATACCACATTTTCTTAATCCATTCGTCAGTGGTGGGGCATCTTGGCTGTTTCCATAACTTGGCTATTGTGAATAGTGCCACAATAAACATGGATGTGCAGGTGCCTCTGGAGTAACAGTCTTTTGGGTATATCCCCAAGAGTGGTATAGCTGGATCAAATGGTAGATCGATGTCTAGCTTTTTAAGTAGCCTCCAAAGTTTTTTCCAGAGTGGTTGTACTAGTCTACATTCCCACCAACAGTGTAAGAGGGTTCCTTTTTCCCCGCATCCTCGCCAACACCTGTTGTTGGTGGTGTTGCTGATGATGGCTATTCTAACAGGGGTGAGGTGGAATCTTAGCGTGGTTTTAATTTGCATTTCCTTTATTGCTAGAGGTGGTGAGCATTTTTTCATGTGTTTTCTGGCCCAAAGGAGCTAAAAATATATGATGGAGAAATAGCAGCCTCTTCAACAAAAACTGCTGGGAAAACTGGTTAGCAGTCTGCAAAAAACTGAAACTAGATCCATGTATATCACCCTATACCAAGATTAACTCAAAATGGATCAAGGATCTTAATATCAGATCCCAAACTCTTAAGTTGATACAGGAAAGACTAGGAAATACTCTGGAGTTAGTAGGTATAGGTAAGAACTTTCTCAATGAAACCCCAGCAGCACAGCAACTAAGAGATAGCATAGATAAATGGGACCTCATAAAACTAAAAAGCTTCTGTTCATCAAAAGAATGGTCTCTAAACTGAAGAGAACACCCACAGAGTGGGAGAAAATATTTGCCAACTATACATCAGACAAAGGACTGATAACCAGAATATACAGGGAACTTAAAAAACTAAATTCTCCCAAAACTAATGAGCCAATAAAGAAATGGGCACGTGAACTAAACAATCAAACATTTAAATCTGCTTCCCACATGCAGGTGTGAAGAGCTGTGAGCTAGCTGGTAATATTTCATGCTAATGTGTTATAACACTGCTAATATTAAAAAAAAATTGTCCTTATTTTAAATTATTTTCCTCTAGAATATTCAGAAGAATATTCAGAAGAGTTTGTCTTTCTTTTTGTCTGTCATTTTAAATTCTTGTGGTGTTTTGAGACAGTGTCTCACGATATAGCCCAGACTGGCCTTCAACTTGTGATCCTCCTGTCTCAACCTCCAAGTGCTGGGATTATAGATGTGCACGACAACACCCAGCTATTTTAATAAACTACTTCCCTATTATGAATTTCTTATAAGTATCATCAAGCAATATGTCATGGACATAAGAAAGTTGTTTTCCATTTCCCATTAAGAATACCAAAGAAACCTGAGCATAGAGAAGAGAAATGACTTCTACAAGGGGTCATGCTTTCCAACAACAGAATAGGGATGGGATATCAGACTTGAATAAGAGGTCAACTTGTAATAAAACAGTCAAAGGAGCAAACCCCTCAACCTATGAAGACGTTTAAGACACAGTACCCTTTAATCCGCAGGTTGGCTCTTTTATCTCTGGATCTTTCCAGGTCTGCCTCCTGTAAACGACGTGTGGGTGGTACCCTCCCTCTGCCAGTGGATGTTTTCTAACAGGCTCAATGAAAAAGTCTCCATGCGGTAGGTGGAAAACTCCAGTCTGTAAACAAATTCAATAAAAATGTTTATTTGAATCAACTCTATGTAAGAAAATGGGTAAAATAAGACAATATGTAGGTTGTGACCATCTCTGGAAGTCCTAAAACCAATGCTTTCAGAATCTGCCATTTCATCTCATAAAAGAGATATACACAAATAATTTGATGAAATGTCTTTAAAATCACAGTTATTAAATGTTTGGGGGTCGTGGATCACCTCAAGATGCTAATAAAAAAAATACACCTATGTACACAGATTCAAAATGTAGCATACAATTTTTCAGGTTCCTGGATCCTCATTAAACCCATTCCTGGATGCCTATAGATCTCAAATTAATAGCCAGTGCTGCTGTTTGCCCACCCACTGAGTCCACGCCTGTGCCCCACTCCTCTGCTCCATTCAAATGTTGCCCCGCATGGGGGTAACCCGGTCATGTGTTCAGTCAACTGCCCAACTGGAAGTGTTTAGTGCCATTCTTCACTCAGGAAAACAAACAAACACAACATCAAATGTTTGACTGAGACCGTTTCAGGGGTCTACAGTAGAAAACCGTCTGTCACTTTCCCTCAGTTTCCAGGGGAAATGGGACAATCCCATTCCACATACATGGGAAACAGTAATAAGCTGGAGAAAGCTGGTCAGTGAGAAACTCAGTGTTAGAGGTGGGGTCTAGAAGTATATCGTACAACTCTGTTGTTCCTTAAGGGAAATTTCTTAATGCAATTTGAGGTGCTCAGAAAAATCCTTTTCTAATGATCTCCTAGGATGGACGTAACACTCAGAATACCAATTCTGTTATCAGTGAGACAAAGGGCTTTTTCTAAATGCCTGCTTGAAGTATTATATTGAAGTGACCAGGTGCTCAGACTCTGGAATGAAACTGGGTTCAAATTAAACTTGCTGCTCCAATTATTAGCTGTGTGACCTTGAGTAAATGACTCACTTTCAGATCTCTCAAGTGAAAAAGGGGAAAATTGAGGGTTTCTGTGCAGAGTAAATGAGTTAATATATGCAATGCTTTTAGAGCATGCCTGGCTCAGAACAGAGTCTTAACTATCATTAAGTTCCTTCCAGACCTCTGAAGGTCATCTCATTGTATTAGGGTCTCCAGAGTTAAGATAGCAGTTTAGTGAGTATGAGTTTGCAGAAATAAACCTGCCCAGTCGGGACTTGAGGGAAACTGTGACAGGCTTCCAAGTTCCAGCTCCCCTCTCCATTCCTCAGTGACCAAGGGCTGCTCAGCTCTATAGATGTGCCTGAAGAGAAGAAGCAAGAGGGGCTCTCACAAAGAAAGAGGCTCTTTACTACTGGACCCCTGTTGACTTGGGGGGGTCTTTCCAAAATGATTCTTCATTGTAACCAGTAATATAAGCAGACTTAACATAAATCTCACAATTGGCTTTCTCTTTTAAGTATGGATCTTAAAATACATTTAATAAAGAAAAGTAATTTGCCAAAAATCATGAGACTAGTGTGGTGGCCTTGAATGGGTTGTACAAACTTTTGGAGCCATAATGTCCTCATCTGTAAAAGGGGACATTTTTTACTACCTCAGAGGACTGTTAGGAGAATCAAATAAGATGAAGCTTGTAAAAAAAGCCATGCAAGCTGGTTTACAAGTGTGGAGGGTCAATGCTTTAACTAGCAACTCCAATAGTGGTTACATCTATCTTCAAGTTTGTTTTAATGGTGACATTTTTAAGGATACATGACATGTTTTTCTTTATATTTTTCTCTGAAGAGACTGTGGGACAGAAAGAACTGGCAAGACCCAGAGTGTGGTATCAAATAATTGTAATAAAATAGGGAGAAACAGACTCCGTGCAGCACTGGGACTTGGTTCCATTTCTGTAGTGACTCAGAGACCAGGCAGAAGAGTAGAATGCTGGCCTGTGGGTAATGAGGCTCATTTGTCCTGTGGAAACAAAGCAGAAACTCAAGACTCCTCAAGGATGGCTGGACCCAGGGGCCATCTGTGCACTAATATGAACCTAAAACTACTGCCCTTGAAGGAAAAGCAACAATAAAACTACCAAAAAGGATTAATTGGGGTTTCTTTAGTTTCAGATTTTGGACCCAGATGGCAGTTCACTTGTGAACATTATCACTAGTCAGTGGACACCACGAGTAAAAGTGACTGAAATGACACCTTTTCCTGAAGACTTCCCTCTGTTTGCATTCCTCCCCAAGGTAAGCCTTGCCAGCATGCACATGGAACCACTTATTCAGCCTCGATACCTCTTGGAAGCTGGAAGAGGACCCAGAAGAGCTGGTGACTCACCACTGGAGGGGAAGCAGGAGACCTGCTCGTGTACCTGTAGGGCTGCTGGTCCCAGGACCCACTGTGTGTCACGGAGAAGGGAAATGGCAGGGAAAGGGTAAAGAGGAGCGTGGGATGGGGCATGTCTGAGCTGAGCTCCGCACCTCCTCCTCTTCCAACACATAAACACAGAGCCTTTACATCTGGTACCCAGGTGGCCCCAGTTTATTGATGTCTTTTCAGCTAACAGGAGCCAAGTCGTGCTGGAACAAAAAACACCTCTAGTTTTCTTCCACACTTTTCCTGAAGCAAGCTACTCAAGAAATTCACGTCCTCTGTTACCAATTCTGGCTCTGTATCAAAGGAAGCACTCTCCGTGCCAGTCTTTCATGCAACCTGCATGAATGGAATTGAGGAAAAACTGGGAATTCGCTGAAGCTTTGTACTCTGTGTTCAGAAAAACCTAGGTAGAGTGAACCTCAGGCTGACACTCAAAAATGACAACTCTCCCCTTCACTTACTCTTCTCCCTGTCAGTATCCACTGCTAGCTCTCTTTTGGAAATAAACTCACCTAATCATGTTAACAAATTACACATTCCTGAGAATGCTTCCCAAGGCTACCCTCTAAGGATTGCTTTAAATAAACTTCACTTTGTAGCATTGCAAATATACAGAGATGTACAAACCATAACCTTAAATCTCCATAGATCTTTCATAAAGGGAGCACCTAGACGAACAAAAAGAATACTACTAGCAGCCAAGAGATTCCCCATTCTCCTACCCAGTCAATAATATCCCCCAAAGTAACTGATAACCTTGATTTATAACACCAATAACTTAGTTTTAAAGTCTATGTTTAATTCCAAATCACAGTCCAGATTCAGATATTGGTGGGAAAAGGAGGAGGTGTTATAAAGGCCCTCAGAGCCTACACCCAAGATTCATGCAGAATCAGTTCCAACAATTTCTCTCTTACTTCACAGCCCCAGAAGTAACTTTCTTTTGACTGTGAAGTTTGTGGTCCCACAAGTAAGCAAGGAATGGGTGAGATTTCTCTTTCATCCTCTTTGGAGAGGCCTTTCCTTAGTTAACAGAAAACAGGGCCAGCAGACACCACACTAACTAGTGGAGAATCAGTGGTGACTAGATTACATTGAGCTGTCTGCAGAAGTCTGAGAGAAGCAGAGTTAACACATTTCTCTTTCTTCCTTTCTCAGAGTCTTAGAGCTGGAAACCATGGCTTAGACTTCCAACCAAACATCTTCTCAGCATGCAGGGTTGGTTTTTCAGGATACTTCCCAGGAAGAACCAAGACAATTCCTGAACAATTATTTATTCAAATAGAAGACTGAAGTATTCAGCTGAGCTAATTTCCAAGTGTCTAGGTCAACTGTGGATGACCTCCTCTTTTTGCCACTAGAAACAGAATCAATAGCATGGTTTGTTTTCCTTTCATATAAAAAAATGGACTTTGGAGAAAGGCCTGAGTTCAACACTCAATTCCAGGACTAGCAATCATTTATAGCTTTTGGTCTTTCTGACTCTCAGTGTCCTCTTGTGTAAGATGGTGATGACAAAATGTCTTCATAGACATGAACTGAATGACCCCAAATAATGCCCGGTCCTCAGTAAATGTTTCTCTACATATATTCCAACACTGATGGCATCTTCCCTATGACTAAATCAATCATTTCCTTTTCTTGCAGTATGGTCAATACAGTTATCTCTGGAATAGTCAGTTTTGTTTTCTAGAAGAAATTCTTCTGCTCTTATAAGGGTAGAAAAGTTGCTTCTTGGATAATTATCTGTTTCTCGCTTGATAATACTTGAACTAAGAACATCTATCCTATCATAATTTCCAAGCTCTGTTCTCACAGATTCACTAACAATGGTTCTTTCAGAAGAATGAATAAGTCACAGATAGATGGGTAGTGAAAGTAGGAAAGACATGGATAATCCATGTACCACACTGGAAATCATTACACTCTTCCTCCATGTGGTACCTGATTTTCTTATCTCCCTACCTACCTCCCAAATGGAATAACCCTAAGAAGATAGGTAAATACTAGGAATAGTCCAAGGAAATCCTTAATTTGGCTTACTCACAGGAAGTTTCAAGAATAACAATCGTTGACTATAGGTTGTGGAGAATATACCTCTGAATTTGAGGTCTGCAGAAAATGTCTATAACATGTTGGCAGACAAAGCAATTAAAATGTGCCCCCCTCCAGAAAAAATATTTGGAGAAAAAACATTCTAATAAGTAGATATCCTAGCTGAATAGATATTTCAGACTTAAAAGGTAATATAATTTCATTTCACAGAGAAAATGGAAAAAATAAAGAAAAAAATGGGCAGTTTGAAATAAACTGCCTGACACAAATCCTGAAGGACCCTATCAAACCTATTCCATTTTTTTTTTTTTTGCACTACTGGGACATGAACTCAGGGCCTTCACTTTGAGCCACTCCACCAGCCCTATTTTTGTGAAGGGTTTTTGAAATAGAGTCTTGCGAACTATTTGCCCCGGCTGGCTTCAAACCTCAATCCTCCTGATCTCTGCCTCCTAAGTAGCTAGAATTTTAGGGGTGAGCCACCAGCACCTGGCTCTCAAACCTATTCTTGAAATTAAAAAAGGAATTTTTATGAGGGGAGGGGGGGTAGGAGCTCCTGGAGGACATCACCATGGTCTAGTCTTAAGCCAAAAAAAAAAAAAAAACGGATGTCAGAGACTTAAGGGGTCATTTCTGACTATACGTCCTTCTCCCAATAATCTATCACAAAACTTTTCTGCATCTCAGAGTTTCTCTGTCTTTGTTTTAAGAAAAAATTCCTTATAAGTAGTAATCCATGTACTCTTTTTTTTTATCCATGTACTCTTGTTTGCTATATCTCACCAGGAAATGAGGAGTCCAGCAAAAAGGAAGGGGAAGAAATTCCTGGCACACTGGAAGCCCAGGAAACATGTTATTAGGAGAACAAAGGAGAGAGCTGGCCTCCAGAAGTGAAAGCACTTTCCCCATGGAGAGCAGAAAGCCATTTTGGTGGATTTTGCCTTATAGCACAGCACTCTATTCTCGTGATGCCCTAGCATGCCATCATGTTCCAACTAGAAACCATCATCCCACTGTGAGGACACAAACTCCTTCCAGGGCTGTGGAGAACATGATCCTGGATACTCTTCTCTCACCCCGATGGGCAAGGATCCCTGAGGGGGTGCTCCCAGCCCCTCATGGATGAACACAGCAGCCAGACAAGGCTGCTGTTCCAGCTCCTGGAGTGATTCTCCTCAGCCAGGAGGCCTGAGACAGAGACGTTCAATGATGACCTGGACAACAGGGGAGCCATGTCTGTCAGCTCTTCGATGAGTTAGTGAGTCACACAGGAGAAACAGCAACGATGTGAAGAGCAGATCTAGTGTAAGACGTTTCAGATGTGAATGGGGACATAAATAAGTATTTATATCCGTATAATAGCTCTAAAACAAAAAGACTAAGAAATATTTGCCTTCCTGGGGGATTTCCTTTAAAAAAAATAAGCCCACACTCAGTGTCTCTACTTTCTATGACCACTACTATCACTATAGCAGAATTAATTTTGTATAACCTCTCAAACCCACCCTGTGAGAATAGGTCTGGGTAACTGTAGTATTTGATGTAAAACAAGGGAGAAGACAGGGTCTGTCTATGTATACCAGGCTGACCTCAAACTCTCGATCCTCCCGCTTCTCCCTCCCAAATGCTGTGCTACCACGCCCAGCATATAGTATTTTGTGACAAAGCACAAACAAAAGAATTCTACTTGATATGGAGATTTTTAAACCCTTGATGACAACATAAAGTGATCAGTGGAGAGGAAACAGAAGCTGAGATACTCTTAAGTAATTATACAAAAGAAAAAAGAGAGAAGTTGGGAGACCCAAAAATAATCCAGGCACAGACATAGGAACACCATAGGGATGAAGAGACCAGAGGAGAAAAGAACCAAAGAAGGTGCCAACCAGAAGCCAAAGTGAAAGGTCTGCAAGGAACAAATGGGGATTTCTACACACACACACACACACACACACACACACACACACACACACGGAAAATGACAGAAAATGTCCAATGTAAACTCTATCTTTCTCATCTACGAAATCTTCAGTGACATTCATTATCTTCTAATACCTTTGTGTGATTATAAGTGCTGCGTCTTTCAAGGATGGCACAGGGAAACAAGTGAGCATAGCTGAACCACTTTCTTTTACTCTTTGTAAACAAGGTAAGATCATCTGCTTGAGGCAGCCAGAAACACACCATGGAAACCCACCCTCCACTGCCCCGCAAGGTCTGGGAGGAGGAACCAATCAACCTTTTATGGAGCTGGGTTGAAGTTTCAGCTGATTGTGAACCACTAAAAAGAAAGTCAAGGGGGAGGACAAAAAAAACAAATGCAGAGCAAGTTGTGGTCAGAAAGCAGAATGTTAATGTTTAAGCATTTTGAGTGTGCAAAGCAAACTTGGTGAGGCAGGCTAAATATAGCCCACATCCTACTCTTCAAACCAGCAGATATGTTACTTTATGCAGCAAAGGAATGTCACAGGTATGATTAAGTTAAAGACTCTGAAATGTAGAGATTGTCCTGGATTACCAGCATTGATCAGTGTACTCAGAAAGACCTTTGTAAGAGGAGGGCAGAAGGATCAGAGTGTGGAGACAATGACAGAAGAGATTGGAGTGGTGTGAAGAAGGGGCCATAAGTGATACAGGTGGCTTCTAGAAAATGAAACACATTCTCCCCTGAAACCTCTAGAAGGAATGTAGCCCATGATTTTTATAAACCTCGGTTTAAAATTGTGTTGTACTGAGCCACAAAGATTGGGGTAATTTTTAACAGCAGCTTAGGGGACTAACACACCTGGGGAGTGGTCATGGGACTGGGTCACAAAGATGAAGGGTCACAAGGGAAGGGAAGTCAAAAAGGGTAAGGGCTCATGGGGTTAGGGTGTTAGCCATGACCCATAGCACATCACAACCCCAGTACACACAACAAACATTTTAGAGAGCAATGCTTTCACTTTTTCCTATGTGGAAGGCATTCTGATGTATTCCATGCTGTGTTATCATTTCTAAATTGTGGTTTTAATACACTAAATTAATGTCACCTCCAAGTAGTGGATTGCATCCTTAAGGTTAAACAACATTGATGTAGTGCAGAATACAAGAGTTTTACAGCTGAATTTGTATCCGAATTCTCATCCAGATGCCATGCTGACTTCCTGTGTGATGTTGGCGAGAGGTGGGGACTGCACACTCAACAGAGCTGTTAAGAGCAAGCAAAACATGGTGAAGAAATCCTCATGGTACAGTGTCTGGCACATGGCATTAATTCCGAAGCAATACTTGCTACTTATAAGATCAGAGCAGCTTGGTATCGTTAGACATTTTAAAGGCTCCAAGTCTTAGATGCTGTGGAACTGCTTCTGTGCCTTGACCCATTGACATCCATGGAAGCACTTCCAAGGAGGAGAAACTATTTCTGAAGTCATCCATTACTACTAAACTATTCTAATTACTTACAAAACTTCTCTTTATAGCACGAAAAATCTGCACTATAATTAGTAACTTCTACTAATTATTTTAGTCTGCCTTGTGGAGTGATACCAGAATTTGCCTCATGTCTGTTATCTATAATACCAGCTTAAATACCTTGGCTGACATTTGTCACTGGCCTCTGAGGGTTCTCTTTTCAGGCTCAAAGCTTCCATTTCCTTCAACCATTTGTCATTTCCCATCGTCCTATGACGATCTTGTTGCTCTCCATGAAACACAAAACAACTAGTCAGTATTTCTCTCAAAATAACATCAGAGTTGGAGAGTGAGAGCCCAGGACTGCAATGTTACCAGCTTTTGGAGAAAAGAAACAGTACAAAAAGTATAATTATTTTTCCTTCACAAGAATCAAATTCTTCAGGGAAAAATCTAGTATGGTGAAAATTTCATGTAATTCAAAGGACTTCCTTCTTTTGCTGGCTAGGGCTTAACAAAAAGATCTGCTTTCTCAATAGTATAACATGGATCCCAGGAAATGAGCTTCAGAACTGGGGACAGTAGACAGTGACAATGATAAAGATGGAAGGTCTCATGCTCCCTGAAGTTTAATGATTTTTTTTCTCTTGAATTGACCAGAGATCATTAGAGCGCAACTTGCCTGCCATCCTAGTGTTCCCTCATCATCCAAGTGGGTACAGCCTGTGAGCAGTTTATGGCAGGAAAGATTTAGATGTGAGGATATGAAAAGGCACAACAAACTAGCCTGTGGCAAACAGTTCCATTCTCTCTACAAGCAGGGAAGGAGTGCCTGGCTATTAAATAGTAAGGGAAATGGTGATTTTTAAGAAGAACATAGTAATTTTTTTCTTCCCCATTGTTTTATTTTTAAAAGTTTCAAAAGTGCAGAGTATTCATTTAGTAAACACCCATGCTTCCACTTATATTCAACAATGTCTAATCACATTTGATTTTTATTAGTGTATAGTTACACAAAGTGGTTTCATTGTGTTATTTCCATACATGTATATAATCTACTTTGATAATGTTCACTCCCTCTATTACTTTTTCTTATCCTCTTTCCCCTTTTTAAACAATTTCAGTGTGTTTTATGATTTTATTTTCATACATGCATACGAAGTACTTCAATCACATTCATCCCCCTTCACCCTCTCCTTTCAACCTCCTCCTTCCATTGATTCCTTCCTCCCTCCCCAAAGTCCCTGCTTTACACTCACATTATTAGGTCTAGATTCCACACCTGAGAGGAAACATAACATTTGTCTTTCTCAGTCTGGTGTATTTCCTTTGATGATCTCCACTTCCATCCAGTGTCCTGTCTTCTTTATGGCCAAAGAATACTCCATTGTATATATATATATATATATATATATACATATATATAACATATAAATATTGTATATACATATATATAGCACATTTTTTTTCTTTTATTATTCATATGTGCATACAAGGCTTGGCTCATTTCTCCCCCCTGCCCCCACCTCCTCCCTTACCACCCACTCCGCCCCCTCCCTCTCCCCCCCCCCCTCAATACCCAGCAGAAACTATTTTGCCCTTATCTCTAATTTTGTTGTAGAGAGAGTATAAGCAATAATAGGAAGGAACAAGGGTTTTTGCTGGTTGAGATAAGGATAGCTATACAGGGCATTGACTCACATTGATTTCCTGTGCAGGTGTGTTACCTTCTAGGTTAATTCTTTTTGATCTAACCTTTTCTCTAGTTCCTGGTCCCCTTTTCCTATTGGCCTCAGTTGCTTTTAAGGTATCTGCTTTAGTTTCTCTGCATTAAGGGCAACAAATGCTAGCTAATTTTTTAGGTGTCATACCTATCCTCACCCCTCCCTTGTGTGCTCTCGCTTTTATCATGTAGCACATTTTCTTTTTCTTTATCTGTTCATTTGTTGATGGATAACTAAGCTGATTCCATAGTTTAGCTTTTGTAAATAGTGCTGCTATAAACATGGATGACAGGTATCTCTAACTTACATTCCTTCGGCTATATGCACAGGAGTGGTATAACAGGATAATATGATAGCTGTATTTTTTTTAGTTTCGTCAGGAATCTCCATACTGATTTCCACAGTGACTGAACTAATTTGCATTCCCACCAACAGTGTATGAGGGCTCTTCACTGACATTTGCTGTTGTTTGTGTTCTTGATGATAGCCATTCTTATTGATTGGGTGAGATGGAATCTCAATGTCATTTTGATTAGCATTTTGTTTATGGTTAATGATGTTGAACATGTCTTCATTATTTATTGGCCATGTGTACATCTTCAAAGAACTGTGCTCAATCCATTTGTCCATTTGTTTATTGGATTATTTGTTCTTCTGGTGTTTAATTTTTAGAGCTCTTTATATATCCTTGACATTAATCCTTTATCCAATGAATAGCTGGAAAATATGTTCTCCCATTCTGTAGGTGGTCTCTTGATTTTTGTAACTGTTTAATTTGCTGTGTAGAAGCTTTTTAATTTGATGCAATCCCATTTGTCAATTTTGCTCTTATTTTCTGAGCTATTGGAGTTCTATTCAGAAATGTGCTACCTATACCTTTATCTTCAAATGTTTTCCTTTGATTTTTTAAATATATGCTGAACCATTTTAAAGTAATTTACAGATATTGTGGCAAAAAAATTCCACCTAAAATACTTCAGCATGCTTGTCCTAAGCAGACAATCTTCTACATATCCAGAGTTCCCTTACTTCACATAAGAAAAAGGGGAATCACTGCACAATGCAAATCACCAAATTTTCATTGCATTTTCAAATTTCCCAAATTGTCTAAATGTCTCATTTAACTGTTTATTGCTTGTTACTTTCTTTGTTTCTAATCCATTTACATAATACATTAAAAAAATAATTTCGTATGTACACTTCAGGCACACAGTTTAAAGAGACATATTTCTTAAGAGCCAGTCATGAGAAACAATAATGTTTTGTTCTTCCCCTCCCTGTCCCCAGAGGTAATGACTTTTATGTTCTATCTGAAAGATATTTCCGTATTTCTACATAACATACTGCCATTCCTTTCTCAGCTTCAGACATTGTCTGACCCTACTAGAACAGGCAAGGACTTAGCTCCCTTGTGCAACCACTCCTCATTTTCCCAATGTCATTACTTCAGCTGAACCAACAGAGGACTGTATTTACATCATGAAAACAATGTTGAGATGCACTGACACATCTTACTAGCTATATCGACTCTAATAGGTTATTTCTATGCCATAGAGGTTTTCCTTTTTTGAATGGTGCACGGGTTTGAACTCAGGGTCTTGTGCTTGTTATGCAAGCATTCCCAGCACTTTTTTGCCTTTTAGCCATTTTTAGATAGGGTCTTAGGGGTATTTTTTTGTTTTTTTTTTTGTCTGGGGCTGGTCTTGGACTGCAATCAACCTATCTATACTTCCCACATAGCTGAGATTACAGATATATGCCACCATGTCCAATTTATTTGTTGAGATGTGGCTTCACTAACTTTTTGCCTTGGCTTGGAACTATGGAGCTGTAATCCTTCCAGCGTCTGCTACCTGTGTAGCTGGGATTATAGTATGTGCCACTGTGCCCAGCCTATTTTACATTACTTAAAACAGCTTTTTGTTTCTGTTAAGACTTGCTACTTACTTTTCTTTTCTCCCATCCAAGTAGTAACTAGGTGCGACCCTGCTTAGCTTCTGAGCTCAGGCAAGATTGGGCACATTCTGAGTGTTATGGCCATAGACCTTACTTTTCTTTTCTTATTGCATTATCTTCCTTGTTACTACAACCTGTTCTCCTTAAATTGACACATCTGAGGCACTTCCTCTCTTTCTTGGAGACATTCCCTGGAGCTCTCCATCCTCCTGATCCAAACTATGCTAGCACGAATTTCTGGCTGTCAAATCTTTATGTTTTTTATTCCACTATCTGACTTTAGAATTGAGAAGTCTGATGTTTTCCCAACTCAATCCTCTTTGGATGTCCTCACCTACCACACAAAGAAGGTTAGAATGTTTTCTTTACCTGTGCAATTTGGAAATCCCACAACCATATGCCACTGAGTGACTCTTCTTATTTATGGACACAATATATTTAAAATATTTTAAAGACATTCATTAAAGGTTTTGAAGTTTTCTTTATTGGCTTGATACATTCCTTTTCTCTTCCTGCATTATCTGATTTCTCCAAAGTAATTTTTCTGCTTATTTACCTTGTCCCTTCTCTTTCAAGTTGGAGGTTTTCCTGCAATGTCTTGACATCCTTGCGTTGCCATCCACAGTTATTAGGGGATACTGAAATGCTGGTTCAACTGGAAATGTGGTAGGTACTTCATCTTTAAGGATGAAACATTTCCCATTTCTCAAATGTCAAAATATAAAATTCCTTTTCTCTGAGGCCTTTTAATTCAAGTAGAGAAGAAAACGCTAGCCCATTGATTAGGAGGTACCCACTTGGATATAATAAAATTCTGCCTGAAATGAAGTAAGGAGACAGACACTCTGCAGCTCGATGACTCCATCAGCCTCCCCTCTATCATATCCAAAATCTCTGAGTCCTAAACCCTGTTGGGGAACCTGGATCAAATCACCTTTCTTCTCATCTACATCCTGTCTGCGTGAATATTCTGGACTGTGATTCACTTGCTTATAAAACACTGGTTATTACGTACCCCACTTTCTATCCTCTAGATAGAAAGTCTCATATCCTAAAATGACTCCTGACTTACCCTGTTATTGTTATGAAGGAGAAGAAACGTGTTGTTCCACCTGTCATCTCTGGAAACTTTTTGACAGTTTTAGGAACACTGACAATAAAAATAATTAGATCAATTAGACATATTTTAATGGATTTAAAAAGAACAATGCATCAACATTGTCACAAATAATCTCTTCTCTCAGAGATTATAACATTAAACTCGTCTTTTTAAAGCTTAAAGCTTTTTTTAAAGAAAAAGCAAGACAGTAGAGAGCAATCTCAACTTAGGTACACACAATCAAACCTTCAAACAACTAAGACAACTGAATGACAGGAATCACCACATACCTATCAGTACTAACGCTTAATGTTAACGGACTTAATTCACCCATCAAAAGGCACTGTTTGATGAAATGGATTAAAAAGGAAGATCCAACAATTTGTTGCTTACAGGAGACCCATCTCACTGACAGAAATAAGCATAGGCTTAGGATGAAAGGCTGGAAGAAGATTTACCAAGCCAATGGCCCCCAAAAACAGACAGG